TTTTCAGCACCGCCAAACGGCGGTATCGCGAAGCGCGCGGCGTCGTCGTCGTCCTGCCACCGTCGCCGATCGACGCCGTCGCCGGCGTTGAGAGAACAACACCCCGGGAGAGGTAACGCTCGCTCGCTTGCCCACCCACCCGTCCGCCCGCCCGCTCGCCCGCGAGAACGGACGACAATGCGAAGTGAGTAAAACGCAGCGCAACATCAGGACGGCGATCCGTTTCTCCTGTCCAACGTCGCGGCGAAGAAGAAGCGCGGAGGACCTCGTCGCAATCCCCCTCCGACGCAGAGTGAGTAGTCATCCGCTGGTGGCGAGACTTCCTCCTGGGAAAGTCGCGACTCCACGTTTCCGATCATACGCGTCGGGCGACAACGAGATTACGTCACTTTCCTGACACTCGCGGCGTGGATACATCCGAGGTACACAACGATCTTCTGACAGCTGTCTTGTGACGCGTTGTTCGTCGCGCCGATTTCCGAAATGACAATTCGCGAGTGAGGACGCACGAAGAGAAGCGACGAGGGAAGAGCGGAAGACCGAAGAGAGACCGAAAGTTCTCGAGAATCATTACCATCTTCCAAGGATACCGTCTTCTTCGGTCGGCACGGAGAAGCGGCGAGAGCACGCCGAGAGCACGTCGGAAAAGGTAAGCGAGAACTCGTCGTCACACATATAGATTTATATACACCTAACGTTACGTAAAACACGAGCTCGGAGGGCTCGGATTGATCGAGCCTCCCTCCGATGAAGGAAAAAGTTACAGCCCTTCTGATCTCGGGATTCCTCTTTTTTTCTTCTTCCTTTTTTACCGCGATTGTGCGCGACGAAGGGACAGTGCGACGTGACTGTCAATTCGCGAAGTGGATTCATTCAACACGAGACACGCGACGATCCCTTACATTACATCCCTTTGCATTTCTTTTCTCCCTCCCCCCCCCCCCTCCTCCGTGTCGAACATATTTTCGAACATTCGATTTAAGAAAAGAAAAAAAACTTGTGAATCACGCGCTATTCTAAAGGTCCACTCGAACGAATCAGTGAGTTATTGTCGCGACATCGAAATGGTGTCTTCATCTTAATTTTTTCATGTTGTTATTGCTAAATGTTATTTGCGACGCGATATTTCCGAATCGCAATTTAATGGCACTGACTGTTTTGTGTGACTGTTTTAGGATTATGTTAAAGCAGAAATTTATGAAAATATCAATTCTGAGATATTGAAGTGTCGTAATATAAGTTATAAATATAGACTGAAACTGCATTACGTCTCATATAAAAAGAGTTTTATGCAATAATATTCCATAATATTAAGATCTCTACAGGCCTGAGAAACGACACGGTTGTTTCTTTTAATCAGATATAAATAAGTCAAGGTAATAAATTTTTAGTCAATTTTTAAAATTTTGTTTGTGCATGATCTCACTTGATCGATGTAGACTTTTTCACTCGATAATCGAAGTGAGAATCTTGTAGTTTTTAAATTTATTTCAATCTGTTGTGTGTTTACATGCATCAAAAACTATCAAAATAATATAGAAAAGGTCTTAGATAATTTTAACAGAATTCGAATTTCATTAGTTATTCGACATTGACTTGATGACGGAGAATCTTGCAAACATCTATAATAAATAACTAAGAGACAGAGAAGAAATTCTATTTAATAACAATTTTACACGATTCTAACTCAGATTTTGTGTAGGTTTATGTAATCTAATATATTATCAGTAAAACATTAAAAACTATTTACATCGTTATATTTTGAAAGAAACTGTTGATTTTTATATATAACTGTGACAATTACAGAGCCGTTACATTATAAATTCCCACAATATCCTCTCGGAAATTGTGACAGTTCTCAGTTTCTCCTTAAAGCAAATATGCAGCAAATATGTAACGATATCAATATCGCATAATTAGATGTCTTCTATCATATTTTTCTTTCGCATCAAATCACATTTTACTCGAATAGCTAAAATATTGGATATGCCTATTTAGAAAAAATTGCCCGCTTTTCACAATTCGCAACTAGTTCAATCTAAAACCATTCAATTCATTAAGACTTTTTATTAAGACTTTCATCATCCTGCTCTTTATGATATGCCTTCGACTAATATATTTTGCTATAAACCGTTTCCAACGATGTTTCTCAATTATACGATGACACTAAGCTCGCTGTGATAATTGCATCTTGCATTAATGACACCTTAAATTAAGGTATTCGGAGAAGGAAGATGTAGAAATTATTACCGCGGTAGGGAATAACTGGAAAAACCACTGTGAAAGTTGGTGGGCTGTTCTCGAATTAGATTTTTTTGACTAAAACGCGATGATGATTATCCCGACACGCCCTCCAGTCGTTCGATTCACGGAGAAGCCTCGGATCCTCTTCCGTTGAAGTGAGACGAGCAAAATCCTGATTTCTGACGCTTATCTAGGACCTGTAAATCTTTCCCCGTGAGGTCAATCTCCTATTCTTGACAGTTTCTGACTTCTCGTGTTACGTCGCGTTATATTATAATAAATTAAAATATATAAATCAGAAAACATTGCAATTTTTCAAGAACCCTCGCTTTCTCGTTATTTATTTTTCTTTACGATGAGCGAATGCATCGAATAAATAATGATTGAATAAAAGATGACGTGACTTTAAATATATATATATATATATATATATATATGTATCAATAATGTTAACAGTAATAGCGCGAAGCGAGTAAATTTGTATAAAAGAGGAAGAGAAACCTGTTCTGCTTAGAGAATAACGAGGATGAAATAATCTCGGCGATAATGTCAGATGAACGACCGTATGGGTAAATAGAACGGCTTAAAATCTCAACCTGCGACTTTGTCAAATCGTGAAAGAAACCGCCGAGTGTGCGTAACGATTGCGGTTGCGATCGTTACTCGCGCGACGTGAAATTGACGTAACGGTCGTGGACGCGCGTGGTGTTTCTTTTCCGCGTCGCGCTTATGAATCCTCCTCGATCGAGCCTGCGGTAGCGGAGAGCCTGGCTCTTTCTGATAAATGAAGTCGCAGAAATCGGCCGCGCCGAAAGAAAGCGGCGACGGAGAGCGCGGCTTCTTGCGTAAGAAACCCATGGCGCGCATAAAGACCGGCGCCTTTTCGCGCGTATCACGCGCGTGAGTGGCTCCGGTAGCCAATCGCATGCTCGTCCTGTTAATTGTCGCCAATTAACGAGGTACACCTCTCGCCGGCGTCTCACCTTGCTTTGCCAGCCACCTCCTTATCGGCTCTATTCAGGATCGCCGCCGTCTTTTCTCTCCGCCGGCTCGTACACCCCGACGAGCAGCGGTAAACCATCGTTCGCGCTTTTGTCGGCATAACCGCCACGTCATCTCCGCTAATCGTCACGAAAAGTACGCCGCGTTTATACGACGTCCTCTCTCCGATAAAGACCGCTACCGGCCGCGCGAGAGTGAAACGCGCCGCGCGAGCATCAATCTTTGTACCGATTTCTTTGGCCGAGCGGCCGTCCTGGCCGCGGCAGAAATCGGTAATACGAGTTTAGTTACCTATCTCGTCGGGGTTCCGGCACCGAAATCGCCGCTCGTTAGCGAGATACATTCGCGTTCTCCTTCGCCTGAGAAGCGCCCACAATTTCCCCGATATTTGCCAGCTTATTCGTCAATTTTCTGCGCGGGTGAAATTAACTTCCTTCGACGCGAATGATGGTTACTAAAAAAGAGCTTTCAAAAATATTTGATTGTAATGAATCTGTATGAATCTGTATACTCGAGACTTTAAATTGTCATTTATTTATTACAAAAAGTTTAGCAAGTAGACTTTGACAGATTAACATAATTGTTGTTGTTTTTTTTTGTTATTGAATATAGTTATATAATCTTAATTGTTGAGTGATACATTCAAATCGAAAAAATAAGACAAGCACAGAAAAATTTTTGCTCGCGCGGAATATTCTAATGATGAGATTTAAATAAAACTCCATAAATATCCATCAGAAACTGGATAGGCTTGAGTGATGTTTGATTAGTTATAATCATTGCTCTAACTATTAGACCAGTTACATTTATAATTGATTTGTGAAAGATCTAATCGACTTGTAGATATTTACAGCACGAATCTATAAAACATCGTGTGGTTTCTGTTTTTATTATCAATTTTTACACTTTCATTTGCTAAGAAGATATGTATATATAACTACAAAATACACGCGAAGATGCCTAAATCATCATTTAACCAAATTTTTAGAGTTATTTTTAGCTGTAACTTTTTAAACAAATTTTTACCGATACAGCATCGATATTTGTAGAATAACTGTAATGTGTAAAATAAAATTATCAAAAAGATACTAGATTCTGTTATTCGATCGTGCAAAATAAATAAAGTTCATCAGTCATGAATTCAGCAAATTTGATCGGATTTCCACGTTCGGGATACGAAATTCCGTCGAACATTACAAATACAGAAACACGGGTGATTTTTTTAGTGCTATCAAAGTGATTTCGCTAATAAGTAACATAATCAACATATTCCCAATTGAGATTTCATCACAGTAATTTTGAATTTTAACCTGAATATTAAAATATTGAGAATACCGTCGATTATGAATGTTACAACTAACTTCTAACGTTCAACAATTGGACACCGTCGCCTCCGCTTCACTTTCACCTCGGTTCCGCTCGCGTTGCGTTCCCGCAAGATTCCCGGTACCGGCGTCATCGTCGGTCCCGTGGTGACTCGTGGTACCCTTTTTTTCACGAGTCATCTCCGTAGGTGCCGCGCAGTTTTCACGGCGAGAAGTGGCCGACGACGGGGGGTTGTGTACGTCTCGCGGTCCGGGTCCGGCCGAACGGGCTGACGGACAAACGCACAATGAGAACGAGGAATGCCCCGCAGAGCCAGACATGAAGACGTCACTCAGAAACGGTAACGGCCAGGACACGGGGTCAGGCCCGACCTGACCGTTCTGGACTGGCCTCGCATCAGCTGCGTTCTCTCGAGTGAGTCAGCGTCGGTTCGAGCGGTCCGTACCGCCGCTTCGCAGCACCGTCGTCCTCGGGACGAAATTCCTTCCGAGGAAGCCCTCGGCATCGTCGAGTTCACACGTTGATGCACGATTCGAAATTTACATACGATTCACAGAAATAGGTAAATAGAGAAATTTGTGACCCTCCGGAATTTGAGCTTTTTTTAAGTGCTTGATAAAATGTGCACGACAACGAACGTTTATATGTACTTTCATAATGTAAACCGAGGTAAAAGAAGAGTATTTAAATTTCTAGAGAGAGAGAGAGAGAGAGAGAGAGAGAGAGAGAGAGAGAAGAAG